AAGGTAAGAGAATTCAGCACCACCAAACCAGCTTTACAACAAATGCTAAAGGAACGTCTCTAGGCAGGAAACACAAGGGAAAGACTTACAATAACAAACCCAAAACAATTAAGAAAATAGTAATAGGAACATACATATCGATAACTACCTTAAATGTAAATATGCTCCAACCAAAAGACATAGGCTGGCTGAATGGATACAAAAACAGGACCCGTATATATGCTGTCTGCAAGAGACCCATTTCAGACCTAGAGACACATACAGACTGAAAGTGAGGGGGTGGAAAAAGATATTCCATGCAAATGGAAATCAGAAGGAAGCTGGAGTAGCAATTCTCATATCAGACAAAATAGACTTTAAAATAAAGACTATTACAAGACACAAAGAAGGACACTACATAATGATAAAGGGATCAATCCAAGAAGAAGTATAACAATTTGTAAGTACTTATGTACCCAACATAGGAGGACCTCAATGCATAAGGCAAATGCTAACAGCCATAAAAGGGGAAATTGACAGTAACACAGTCATAGTAGGGGACTTTAACCAATGGACAGATCATCCACAATGAAAATAAATAAGGAAACACAAGCTTCAAATGATACATTAAACAAGATGGACTTAATGGATAGTTACAGGACATTCAATCCAAAAACAACAGAATACACTTTCTTCTCAAATGCTCATGGAACATTCTCCAGGATAGATCATGTCTTGGGTTGCAAATCAAGCCTTGGTAAATTTAAGAAAACTGAAGTTGTATCAAGTATCTTTTCTGACCACAGCACTCTGAGACGAGATATCAATTACAGGAAAAAAACTGTAAAACATACAAACACATGGGGGCCAAACAATACGCTACTAAATAACCAAGAGATCAGTGAAGAAATCAAAGAGGAAATCAAAAAATACCTAGAAACAAATGACAATGAAAACACAACGACCCAAAACCTATGAGATGCAGCAGAAGCAGTTCTAAGAGGGAAGTTTATAGCAGTACAATCCTACCTCAAGAAACAAGAAAAATCTCAAACAACCTAACCTTACACCTAAAGCAATTAGAGAAAGAAGAACAAACAAAACCCAAAGTTAGCAGAAGGAAAGAAATCATAAAGCTCAGATCAGAAATAACTGAAAAAGAAATGAAGGAAATGATAGCAAAGATCAATAAAACTAAAAGCTGGTTCTTTGAGAAGATAAACAAAATTGATAAACCATTAGCCAGACTCAAGAAAAAGGGAGAAGGCTCAAATCAACAGAATTAGAAATGAAAAAGGAGAAGTAACAACTGACACTGCAGAAATACAAAGCACCGTGAGAGATTACTACAGGCAACTATATGCCAATGAAATGGACAACCTGGAAGAAATGGACACATTCTTAGAAAAGCACAACCTTCTGAGACTGAACCAGGAAGAAATAGAAAATATAAACAGACCAATCACAAGCACTGAAATTGAAACTGTGATTAAAAGTCTTCCAACAAACAAAAGCCCAGGACCAGATGGCTTCACAGGCGAATTCTATCAAACATTTAGAGAAGAGCTAACACCTATACTTCTCAGACTCTTCCAAAATACAGCAGAGGGAGGAACACTCCCAAACTCATTCTACGGGGCCATCATCACCCTGATACCACACCCAGACAAAGATGTTACAAAAACGGAAAACTACAGGCCAATATCACTGATGACCATAGATGCAAAAATCCTCAACAAAATACTAGCAAACAATCCAGCAGCTCATTAAAGGATCATACACCATGATCAAGTGGGGTTTATCCCAGGAATGCAAGGATTCTTCATTATACGCAAATCAATCAATGTGATATACCATATTAACAAATTGAAGGATATAAACCATGTGATAATCTCAATCGATGCAGAAAAAGCTTTTGACAGAATTCAACACCCATTTATGATAAAAACACTCCAGAAAGTAGGCATAGAGGGAACCTTCCTCAACATAATAAAGGCCATATATGACAAACCCACAGCCAGCAGCGTTCTCAGTGGTGAAAAACTGAAACCATTTCCACTAAGATCAGGAACAAGACAAGGTTGACCACTCTCACCACTATTATTCAACATAGTTTTGGAAGTTTTAGCCACAGCAGTCAGAGAAGAAAAAGAAAAGGAATCCAAATCAGAAAAGAAGAAGTAAAACTGTCACTGTTTGCAGATGACATGATACTATACATAGAGAATCCTAAAGATGCTACCAGAAAACTACTGGAGCTCATCAATGAATTTGATAAAGTAGCAGGATACAAAATTAATGCACAGAAATCTCTTGCATTCCTATACACAAATGATGAAAAGTCTGAAAGAGAAATTAAGGAAACACTCCCATTTACCATTGCAACAAAAAGAATAAAATACCTAGGAATAAACCTACCTAAGGAGACAAAAGACCTGTATGCAGAAAACTATAAGACACTGATGAAAGAAATTAAAGATGATACAAACAGATGGAGAGATATACCATGTTCTTGGATTGGAAGAATCAACATTGTGGAAATGATTATACTACCCAAAGCAATCTACAGATTCAATGCAATCCCTATCAAACTACCAATAGCATTTTTCCCAGAACTAGAACAAAAAAATTCACAATTTGCATGGAAACACAAAAGACCCCAAATAGCCAAAGCAGTCTTGAGAAAGAAAAATGGAGCTGAAGGAATCAGGCTCCCAGACTTCAGACTATACTACAAAGCTACAGTAATCAAGACAGTGTGGTACAGGCACAAAAACAGAAATATAGATCAATGGAACAGGATAGGAAGCTCAGAAATAAACCCACACGCATATGGTCACCTTATCTTTGATAAAGGAGGGAAGAATATACAATGGAGAAAAGACAGCCTCTTCAATAAGTGGTGCTGGGAAAACTGGACAGCTACATGTAAAAGAATGAAATTAGCATACTCTCTAACACCATACACAAAAGTAAACTCAATATGGATTAAAGACCTAGATGTAAGGCCAGACACTATAAAACTCTTAGAGGAAAACATAGGCAGAACACTCTTTGACATACATCACAGCAAGATCCTTTTTGACCCACCCCCTAGAGAAATGGAAATAAAAATAGACAAATGGGACCTAATGAAACATAAAAGCTTTTGCACAGCAAAGGAAACCATAAATAAGATGAAAAGACAACCCTCAGAATGAGAGAAAATATTTGCAAATGAAGCAACTGACAGAGGATTAATCTCCAAAATATACAAGCAGCTCATGCAGCTCAATATCAAAAAAACAAACAACCCCATCCAAAAATGGGCAGAAGACCTAAATAGACATTTCTCCAAAGGAGAAATACAGATAGCCAACAAACACATGAAAGGATGCTCAACATCACTAATCATTAGAGAAACGCAAATCAAAACTACAATGAGCAACAGGGAAGACATATGGGAACATATGTTTATGTATGACTGATTCACTTTGTTATAAAGCAGAAACTAACACACCATTGTAAAGCAATTATACCCCAATAAAGATGTTAAAAAAAAAAAAAAAAAACTACAACGAGATATCACCTCACACCAGTCAGAATGGCCATCATCAAAAAATCTACAAACAATAAATGCTGGATAGGGTGTGGAGAAATGGGAACCCTCCTGCATTGTTGGTGGGAAAGTAAATTGATACAGCCACTATGGAGAGCAGTATGGAGTTTCCTCAAAAAAGTAAAAACAGAACTACTATATGACTCAGCAGTCCCACTACTGGTCTTACACCCTGAGAAAACCATAATTCAAAAAGAGTCATGTACCACAATGTTCATTGCTGCACTGTTTACAATATCCAGGACATGGAAGCAACCTAAGTGTCCATCGACAGATGAAAGGATAAGGAAGATGTGGCACATATATACAATGGACTGTTATTCAGTCATAAAAACAAACGAAATTGAGTTATTTGTAGTGAGGTGGATGGACCTAGAGTCTGTCATACAGAGTGAAGTAAGTCAGAAAGAGAAAAACAAATACCGTATGCTAACACATATATATGGAATATATATTTTAAAAAAAAGGTTCTGAAGAACCTAGGGGCTGGAGAGGAATAAAGACGCAGACATAGAGAGTGGACTTGAAGACACGGGGAGGGGGAAGGGTAAGCTGGGACGAAGTGAGAGAGTGGCATGAACATATATATATATACACTACCAAATGTAAAATAGATAGCTAGTGGGAAGAAGCCGCATAGCACAGGGAGATCAGCTCGTGCTTTGTGACCACCTAGAGGGGTGAGATAGGGAGGGTGGGAGGAAAATGCAAGAGGGAGGGGGTATGGGGTTATATGTGTAAGTATAGCTGATTCACTTTGTTATACAGCAGAAACTAACACACCATTGTAAAGCAATTATACTCCAATAAAGATGTTTAAAAGAAAACACAAAAAGCAGTACATGCAGAGAGTCCATGATTCAGTGAATTTTACTGTTAAGCTAAAAACCTCGGGGCTTCCCTGGTGGCGCAGTGGTTAAGAATCTGCCTGCCAGTGCAAGGGACACGGGTTCAAGCCCTGGCCCAGGAAGATCCCACATGCCACGGAGCAGCTAAGCCCACGTGCCACAACTACTGAACCTGAGCTCTAAAGCCTGCAAGCCACAACTACTGAGCCCACGTGCCACAGCTCCTGAAGCCTGCGTGGCTAGAGCCCGTGCTCTGCAACAAGAGAAGCCGCGACAGTGAGAAACTTGCACACTGCAAGGAAGAGTAGCCGCCGCTCACCTCAACTAGAGAAAGCCCATGCACAGCAGTGAAGACCCAGCACAGCCAAAAATAAAATAACTATAAACCTCATCTTGTTCTGTATGCCCTCATTGGGTGATCTCATCCTTTCCCAAGGCTTTAATTACCATCTATACGATGATTCTCAAATCTGGATTTCCAGCCCAGACTTGTCTACTGAGGGCCAGACCCATGTGTTCATATATTCACCTGCCTTCTAGGCACTCCTTCATCATCTCTCTCCTCACTCCAGCTTCTCCTCTAGTGTTTCCTTTCTTCGTAAATACCTGCGCCATGTTGCGTCCCATACAGCCACCTGAGGCTCATCCTTGACTCCTTCTTCTCTCTACATATAGTTAATAGAGTTAATCATTATGTCCTCTCAATTATACTTCCAAAATAACTCTCAAACGATTTTTCCCCAATTCCCTCTCTCTTCACCTGGGTTACTTAGCAGCCTTCCAAGTGAGTCTTGTGCCACTCCTGTCCATTTCCTCCTGAAAACCAGAGGGATCTTAATAGAAACAGCAGTCTAATCATGTCACTGGAGCTGGATAACAGGGTTAGCCATCCTACGCAGGGCCGTCTGTAAGGGGGTAACGCAACTCTCCTAGAAATCTCACAAGTTGGAGAAAGTAATATCTGCCCGAAAATTCTTCTCAGGGAGAATATTGTATGTGGTTGGAAGGATGGGATAAGATCCTGCACCTTTGTCTATCTGTCTCTCTCTCTCTCCCGCCTCTCCTTCTGCCTCTCTCCCCACCCCTCTGTCTCCCTCTTTCCTTTCCTCCCTCTTTCCTCCCTTCCCCCTCCAAGGGGAATTCCCTTCAAGGAGATTAGATCTAGTTATCTGGAGGGCTTTTATTTTGCCCTGTGGGACATACAAATTTGGGACCCAGTTTAACTGCTTGGAGCAGTAGGAAAAGAGACTTCACCACTGATCCCCTTTCTCTGCTTTTCTTGGAAAAGAGCTCTAAATCACAGGCTCTTCTCAAAGTGTGGTCCCCCGAACAACAGTGTCAGCATCACCCAGTGATTTGTTAGAAATGTAAATTCTTGGACCCATTCTAACCTTCTGAATCAGAAACTCTGGGGACAGGGCCTGGTAGTCTCTGTTTTAATAAGCCCTCCAGGGGATTCTAATGGATGCTAAAGTTTGAGAGCTACTATTGAAAAACTACGTAAAGCACATTGATTTGAAGGGAATACATTATTTGCCTGGCCCCAGTACCCATACATTTATACTGATCCTGCATGTCACTTCCCTGTTTAGATCCTTTAGCAGCATCCATGGTCCTTAGGATAAATTCATAGCCCTTATATAGCCTTTAAAGAACCCTACCTACCTAACAATAACAATGATAATAAATAAAAATAGCTAACATGTATTTGTTCCACAAATATTCATTGAATACCTACTATACACAGGTGTTGTTCTAGAGTCTAGATGCCTGAAATACAGTTGTGAACCATATATAGATAAAGTCCCGGCTCTCGTGACGTTTAAGACTAGATGAGCAAATACACAAATAAATTAAAAAACGATCAGACAGTGAAGTGCTGTTCAGGAGATTGAAATAGGATGATGGGGCTTCCCTGGTGGCGCAGTGGTTGGGAGTCCGCCTGCCGATGCAGGGGACGCGGGTTCTTGCCCCTGTCCGGGAAGATCCCACATGCCGCGGAGCGGCTGGGCCCGTGAGCCATGGCCGCTGAGCCTGCGCGTCCGGAGCCTGTGCTCCGCAGAGGGAGAGGCCACAGCAGTGAGAGGCCCGCGTACCCCAAAAAAAAAAAAAAAGAAGTAGGATGATGTGATAGAGAGTGACCAGATGGCTACTTTAGATGGGTTATTAGGGAAGGCCTCACTGAGAAGGTGGAGTTTAAGCCGCACTCTGACTGAAAATAGAGCCAGCAGCTGAATATCTGAAGTACTCGCGTTCCAGGTAGAGGGAGGCTGCTAGTGCCAGGCTCTAACGCACTTTCAAGCTCTGTGTGATCAAGGAGCAGAGGAGGCTGAAGTGATGGGAGTAAGAACTTGAAGGAGGAGTAGGAAGTTGTGGACAGGGAGATAATAAACAGGGGCCAGATGTAGGTCTTTGTAAGCCAAGTTAGGAGTTTGGATTTTTTTTTTTTTTTGGAGGTATAGTTCATATACAATACAACTCACCCTTTTAAAGTGTACAAGTCAGTGGTTTTCAGTATATTCACAAGGTTGTGCAACCATCACCTCTATTTCCAGGATATATTCATCACTCCAAAAGGAAACCCCATTCCCACTGGGAGTTTGGCTTTAAGTGTGATAGTAAGCCACTGGAAGATTTTAGCAGGAGACACATAATCTGATTAATGTTTTCAAGATCACTCAGGCAACTGTGAGGAAAGTGGATTCTAGGTAGGCACAGGTGGAAGCAGGGAGACCGGGTGATCTTTTCTACACTTAAAGCAAGAGGGTAGTGGCTTGGGTTAGGGTGGTGGTAATAGAAATGGAATGAGGTGAAGGGGTTCAGGATATGTTTTACAGGTAGAGACAACTTTCCTCTAATGCAGTGCTTCTTAAATTACCTGTAATGAAGAACCAATTTGTTAAATTTCCAGTCTGTCACAGATTGAAACTTTTGAAAAGTATAATAATAATATAAACAGAGACAGTGTTTCCAGGGGACGTGCCTGGAGTAGTGGTTTGTTGGTTCGGAGGGTATATGGGATGCTGTTAGTCTGTGCCCATCCCTCTTTCTCTATTCTCTACTTTATTTTTCTTCTTACCATTTTTTCCTATCTGACATACTATAAATTTCACTTATTTGTTTTGTCATCTTTCTCTTTTCATTAGAATGTAAACTCCATGGGAACAAGAATATTTTACTGTTTTGTTCCCTGCTGTATCCCCCAGCCTAGAATAGTGTTGGGTATATAGTACTCAATAAATTTCTGTTGAACGAATGAATGAATTGTAAGTAAGTATGTATGAGTGTTTATTTATATATATGTGCTAGTTTCTTTAAACTCAATAATTTACTCAAAATATTTGATCAGCTACTATGTACCAGACATTGAGATGGAGTGGTGAACAAATGTTCCTTTGTTTAATTGTTCTTCCAGTGACAGGCACCTACCGTGCACTGTCATAGGTACTGGAGACTGAATGGTGGGCAAGGAGGTATTCTAACAAGGAAAACAGGGATCAAGGAAGGTCCCGCTGAAGAAGTGATTTAAGAGATTAATAGGAGCTAATCATGTGAGAGGAACTAGGAATAGGAGGAAGGAATGCCATGTCTGCAAGCCTGGTGGTGAATTGACAAATTAGATAAACACACCTTTTGGAAATATTTTGTCTATTTGGGCAGAAACTTAAGAGATTATTAATCAACTAAATGTTTTCTCCACACAGGGGTACAGAGAATAATAGATATTTTCAGATTAATTATCCTTACATATATGTAGGATATACGGTGTACTCAACTGATTCTTACCTTGTCTTTGAAATACATTTTTACCTCTTTTGTTTACTTTGCCAAATCAGTACATATCTTTTATTGAAACTCTTTTTAAAAATATAGATTCGTTGAAGAGGAACATATTCCTTATATAAATGCTTTTCAGCATTTTCCAGAAGAGATGAAATTATATGGGCGTGACAAAGGAATCTTTGCTATAGAGGTATGTTATTTTCTTTTTTACTTTGTAGTCACTTATAAGACACAAGAGTAATTTGGTGATTTATATTCCTCTCCTGACTTATTCGGTGTTGGAGTTTTAAAAAATGTCATCGAGTTTTTGTTCTATTCAAATATGGACATTAGTCATAATTTAATGAAGAGTAGAATTATTATTTTTTGTTTTCCTTACGTGGCTACATCTAATCCTTTAGGTTACGCAATCCTCAAAATACAGCTATAATGTTAGGTGTGTGCATTGCAAATAGGTGTAGTGTTGAGACTAAAAGTTTTATATAGAGACCTTTAGGTAATTTCAAATTTAAAAAACAGTATTTTTTGTTGTTATTTGCACACTATGTTGCTTTGGAGAGAAGAGATGAAAGTTATTATGTTGTTTCAAGAGGCATATATTTTTTAAATATATTTATTTATTTATTTTTAAATTTTTGGCTGCGTCAGGTCTTAGTTGTGGCACGTAGGATCTTCATTGAGGCACGCGGGATCTTTTGTTGCGGCGCGCAGGCTTCTCTCTAATTGTGGCGTGTGGGTTTTCTCTCTCTAGTTGTGGCACAGCCTCCAGGGTGCGTGGGCTGTGTAGTTTGTGGCACGCGGGCTCTCTAGTTGAGGCTCATGAGCTCAGTAGTTGCAGCGCATGGGCTTAGTTGCCCCGCAGCATGTGGGATCTTAGTTCACTGAACAGGGATCAGACCCGCATCCCCTGCATTGGAAGGTGGATTCTTTACCACTGGTCCACCAGGGAAGTCCCTCAAGAGGCACTATTTTAAGTCCTTTGCTTGTGTTAGTCTTCTTCTAGATCTCTTTTCAGCTGTCTCCAATGGCAGCGCTTCTGTCCTTTTAATTATGAGACTTTATCACTATTTATAGTACTCAAAGGTTATTTTCCCTGTGCTCTTCATCAGAAGGTTTTCAGTGTACTAAATATTAATATTAAATATTATCCTCCGTTTACCCACTTAAGGAATTATTTTCATAGGCTTTCCTAACCTTCATAACCTTCACATTGTTTTCAGTTTAATTCAAGAGACATTTATGATCCTTACTAAACCCCTGCATGAGTATGGTTCACCATCTTCCCAATTTTACATGTGAGTAAACACCTCAGACAGGTAGAATGATTTGCCAAGGTCATGCAGATGGCAGTCTCAGACTTGGAACTACAGTGCTTTAGGCCTTTTACTCATTGTATGGTCTTTTGTTCTGTTTTTGTACCATCTTACTATTATGTGTCCCATCTAGTCTTAATTTCTTGTTTCTTCTTTTTCTGCCTTTTTTGAATTAAGATTTTTTTTATGATTCCACTTTATCTCTACTATTGATTTATTAACCATACCTCTATTTTTTTAAGAGGTTGTTCTAGAGTTTATAAAATTCATCTTTAACTTACCACAGTCTGCCTCAATAATATACCAGTACATGTATAGTGTAAGACCCTTACAAGAATATATATACTTCCACTTCCCTCCTCCCATCCCTTAGTGTTAAACATTTTATCTTTACCTGTTAGATATTCCACAATGCGTTGGAATTATTTTTGCTTTAAAAAGTTGTTTATCTTTTTAAGAAATTAAAATGAGAAGAACTACTTCATATTTACCCACCTTTTGCCATTTCTGGCACTCTTCCTGTCTGAAAATGTCCTGTAACATTTCTTATAGTACAGATCTGTTGGCAGTGAATTCTTTTGGCACTTTTTGGTCTAAAAATGTCTTTGTTTTGCCTTCATTTTTGAAAAAACATTTTCACTAGTATTGAATTCTGGGTTTGTACTTTTCCTTCAGCACTTTACAAATGTTTCTTTCTACAGGACTGTCTGATTTCTCTTCTCTTCCCTTCCCTTCCCTTCCTTTCTCTTCCCTTCCCTTCCCTTCCTTTCTCTTCCCATCTCTTCCTTCCTTCTCTCCTTCCTTACTTCCAACTACATGTCAGACCACAGCTCACTAAGGCTTCTGTTCTTTTTCTTTTCCTCAGTGTGTTTTGTTTTGGATAGTTTCTACGATGATATCTTCAGATTCACTGATCTTTACTTCTTGAATGTCTAATTTGCTGTTAAACCCATCTAGTAATTTTTTCATTTCAGATTCTGTATTTTTCATTTCTAGAAGTTCCATGTTAGTCTTATCTTTTTCGTTTCCTTCATTATGTTTATGTTTTCTTTTACATCCTCCAGTTTATTGACAATATTTACAGTAGTTGCTCTAAGGCTATCGTCTACTAATTCTGTTATCTCGGTTATTTCTGGGTCTGTTTCTATTGATTGATTTGTCTCCTGATTATGTGCCATATTTTCCTGCTTTGCATTCCTGGTAATTTTGATTGGATGCAGACAGTGTGAATTTTGTGTTGCTGAATACTGGATTTTTGTTCTGGTGTATGATTAGGTAACTTAGATATCAGTTTGATCATTTAGAAGCTTGTTCTTTTAATGGCTGTTCCAGAGCCTATATTGTGAGGCTAAGGAAGCCCTGCTACTAAGGCATGTCCCTTTGGGAGACTCTACCCAGAGCCCCCAGTATTGTGAAGTCTCTCCACTCCAGCTGGGGCCTTATGCAAACTCTGAGAATTGTTTGCATTCATTGGAAAAATCCAGTGATTTTTTTTTCTCCCCTGGCCTCAGGTTTTTTCTCACACATGCACAGATTGGTACTCAGCCAAAGACTTGAGAGGACCCCTTTGCAGACCTCCAGAGTTCTCTCTCTGCAGTTTTATCCTCATTGGTGCTCTGCCTGCAAATTATAGCCACCTCAGCTAACAGGAACTCTAATCTCTCTCTGCTTAACTCAGCAAGACCACTGGGCCCTGTTTCACTCCCTGCTCCCTGCACTACAGCTTGGAGACTGCCTCCAGGCAGTAATCTGGGGCCATTTGTTTCTCTTCTCTCAGCGATTGTATAGTCCTGTGCTTCCTGTTACCCGATGCCTAAAACTGTTGTTTCATATATTTTTTCCAGTTCTCTGTTTATCATGGGAAGTAAATTCCCGTAGTAGTTTCCCATTGTAGTTAATCCTTTAAGGGCAGAAACAGAATTGTTCTAAATACTCATTTTTAGACATTTAGAAATAGAGTCAATATTCAGATGCTTTTTAGCTGAGTGTTATGAAATACCTGCCTAGTAATAATCTCTTTTGTTGACTATTTTTAAATTAATCTTGAGTTGAGGGGACAGGGCTATGTAAAATAGGGGAGTGATTTCTTGTAGAGATTTTGATAGAAAGTATAAGCATAAAAATATATGAGATTATGTCTTGGTAACAGTAACTATTGTACTTTACCTTTTTCACTTGTATCTTAGCTTTTTTTAAATAAACTTTTTATTTTGGAATAATTTTAGATTTATAGAAAAGCTGCAAAAATAAAAATATATCCTTTACCCAGATTCAACTATTGTTAATATTTTATTTTATCCTTTGTGCTGTTCTTCCCTATCTATGTATCTATCTATGTAATTCTATTTCTGAATCATTGAGGGTAAGTTACATTTATCATGGCCCATCATCCCTAAATATTTTAGTGTATATTTTCTAAGAGTAGGGATATTCTCTTATATAACTGCAATTTACTTATTAACTTTTTATTTTTCTAGGAGCTGCACAGTATAGATATGCCACAATTTACCTGACTAGTTTTCTATTGATGGAGTTTTGTGTTTGGGGATTAAAGGCTAAAGAAGGCAGCAAGGTAATGAAAAAACAAAACAAACAAAACTGAAAACAATCTGAATGTCTGTCAAGGAAAATGGATAAAATGTGACATAATCAGACATGGTATATTAAACAACTATGAAAATGAATCAACTACAGCCACAAGCAACAGGAATGACCCTAAGGAATATTCTGTTTAGTGTAAAAGGCAAGACTTAGGAAGCTACATACATATGAAATCACTTTTGTTAAGCTCACAAAAGAAGTTAAGCTAAATATATTTATATAAATATATTTATGTGCCTGATAAAACTATTTAAAAAAAAATAAGTTTATGGTAAGCATAATTCAGGATACTAGTTACCTCTGGAGGGGGAGGCACAGAGGGGGGACTAGAGAAGGAGTACACTGGTAGATGTAACAGTCGGGTTTGTTTGTATATTTCTTGCATCCCTAACTACTCTGAGAGTAGGGATCATGTGTAATGCTTCTATTTTATCATACATAAGACCTAATATATAATCATTATGTATACATGGTAAGAACTCTGTGTTTATTGGTTAAATGATTTGAAATAGCTGAAAAACAGAATTAGTTTAAATGCTTTATTTAGAGAAGATTTCAAATAGATTTGTTGGGGATTTTTTTCCACCTAAGTGGTAAACATCCAGACTGCTTCTTTTGTATTTATTACATAATATACCCAGAGGCTATTCAGTAGTGGCATTTAACTGAGAAAATTAAAAAGCATTCCACTGATATTTTAGTGGTAAATGTGTAAGGGATATAACTTCTGCTTATAAGCAAGGACATTTAAAAAGCTGAGTTATGGGTGTGTCAGTATCACTCATGAAAACCAGTGTGTGAGATGAATAATCTTATCAGTTATTTGTACTGTTCACCAGTATACTGAAACCAATAGTCAATTACTCTAGTCAGAAAATGTATGTTTGAGGCTACATTGATGATATTTGTTTTAGGAGAATCATACCTCCTGTTTGCTGAGTGAAACCAGTGATTTCATGTGAATTGTCTGTGATTTAGTTTGATCCCTTGCCAGTGCCCACCCCTAGTACCCAGCATGCTCAGTCCACTTCTCCCCCTACCTCTGCTTCCCAAGAGGAGGAATGAGAACCAAGGTTTATGCTCATCTAAGGAAAACTGAATAATGACAAAGGTTAGCCTGCTACAAAAATGATCACGTAACCCTGCCAAAATCGAATCAAAATTATTTGGGGATTGTCTACTCTTTGGATACCAGCTTTTAACCTCCTTTAGTACAGATATGTGAAATTTGAACATAGGTATTCCACAGTCAGCAGAATATTTGGAGGACAGGCAC